TTTAACATAGTAGACGCCCATAAGCTAAAATTAAAAGTTTAAGTAATTAGAACTAATTATTCATTTTTTAATTTATTTGTTTGTTAAAATTATAATCAAATAACGTAGATAGTCTAAAAATCCTGTCCCTCTCAAAAATCTTTTGAACAACTAAGTATTTTCTGAGTAGAGTAACACCGGCGCTCATTATAATTGTTTTTTCTCAATTAATTGTATTTTTAAGAACCATGTGAAAACATGCTTTTATTTTTAAAAATATATATAAACAATACACAGAAAGTTTCAAAATAATTATAAAAACTTCTTAATACTTCATTTCTTGTGTTTTGATGGTTTTATTTTACCTCGGTATACGTATAATAGTAAATTTTACTTTGATAATTTTTATCTTCAGAAATTAATCATCCTAAGTACAATATTTTAACCACATCAAGGGAAAACATACAACAATATAGTAAAGGCACTATTATACAATAATATTATGAATACCGAAGTGGTTGTCACTTGTTCTTCTTCCATTGTACACTTGCGTGCAATGTACGTATACAAATGCTGTAAGTAAGTATAAAAATGAGAGAAAAAACAAGTTCATAAATTCTACAGAATAAATTTATGTCATGCGTGAATTTATACAATTTCCATACAAAAAATATAAAATTAAGGTAACCGTCATTGTTTTAGTTACGAACTATTTAAGGATTCCAACGAAATGCTCATCAAATAATAATTATAATTTTTTATAAGCCGAAACAAATTCAAAGAAAGGCGTATAAAACGGCAAATAACCCCGTCCAGAAGAGACGAAAACCTATCTCGTGACGTTTTGTAAATGTCGATTCTTTTGTACGATTTCACTCTACCATAGTTCTATTTAAAAAGAATGCGGATTAGTTTAAATAAAAAAATTGATTAAAAAATCACAATTACGGCGGAATAACAACTATACAAATCTTGTGCGTGCGTACGCATAATTTGATAAACGGAATATATCCATTGAATTGACTATAATATGATTCATCTTGGTCTTGATTACAGACGTGAAAATGTCGACCCTCAACCACCGATATATTCATTATTTTGAAACGAAAATATGGGATTGAATATTATTATTTTGCCGTGTCCCGTCGCGATTACACCGTATCGTCACGTGGCCCCGTTAGATAATAATAATATTATTAAATACAATGGAATTTGGCAATACAATAGCCGATAAACGGTTTTGCGATGTAATTGTTACTAAAGTTATATTCTCAAATTTCATCAAAAATATAGATTGTGAGCCACACGTGTGTGCTGTAAATAAATTATGGTAACTGTATACAACCACCGTATTATGGTTTGTGCATTATAATAATATGTGCACTTTAATCCACGTAGTTCCGAACACATACAATATGCACGTGTAAACGAATACAATACCACAATCGCTAAACCAGTGTGTATGACGTATGAAACTTGAATTTTATGAATTTAGATGGCCCGCGACTGATGCGATCAAAACATAATTTAGTACCTACTAACAATTGATTTCCCGACACCACCGGGTATTGTGTGTTATAGAGTGCCATTATAGTTGAGTCTCCGGTCCTAATTGTATAGTCCAAAAGTCCGGTATTTTTATAAATTACTTATTGAAAAACGTTTTGTTTGGTTTACGTTTTATATCAATTTTTTAGCTGGTCATTGTAATGATAATTATTAAATACTGTAGGTTACAATTTTCAATATATCAAAACAAATAGACTTACTTAACTTATTGACTTTGCTATAAGTGCATGACAAATGTTTAACTACACGATATTATTACGATACGATAAAACAATTTTTTTTTTCAAGAAAACTTCTTAGCTCAAAAAAAAAAAAAAACACTTGGCTATAAAAATAATAAAAGTTAATTTAAATGTAAACACACCTATTATTTTAATCAAAATTCTAATATAAGAATTAAAAAATAAGAGTTTTTATCAAGAAAAATTACTAAGAGTTAATTTAGCATGAAATGCATATTATTTGGCTGTCCTAATTCTAAAAAAATTATATTTTTTTTTTGGATTAAATAATTTCTTTATTTTGAGTTTCAAATAATACAAAAAGTCGTTAAAAAATATTTTTTTAATTAAAAAGTAATTTACAAAATGTAATTATTACTAAAATAACATGTTTTTGTGTTATTCACGTTAATAAATACGACTTAGTGAGTATTTTATTTTTCTCCACCGATATTAAAAATACAAACATTTTCAATTTAAATATATTAATTCTTAAAAAAATAAGATTTAGGATCTAAATGGAATGAAAAAATAAATACTATAAGATATAACATATTGAATTTAAAATTATTTTCTTTATTATTATTAGATAATTTTCTAATGATTATTTCTGAAATTTTACACGTTTGTAATGCTAAGTATATTCCATATATTTAAGGACTTTTAAAATATATAATACTCAAAAAGGCCTTAAATAAAATAAAATTAATAAAATACGAATAAAAATGATATATTAATATGTATATATTTCATATTACACGCAATGCACACTTTCTCTTTTAAGTATTGATTTAATTTTAATTTTTTTAAGTATTAAAGAAATAAAAAATGTAATATTTATGTAAGCACATAAACCATTTACCTTAATATTATTTTGAAATCTTGTGTATTGATTTCGTTTTTTTTTCTTACAGCGTGACATGCTATGAGAATACAAATATTTAAAATAAACAATACACTAAATACATAGAATATTCTTTGAGACTGCACAAAAATATTTGTACCTAAAATTGTGATTATAATAACATGTTTTTTATTTATTCGTACGAGTATTCAGAAAAATATTTGTTTTAAATTTCCATCGAATAAATTAAAAACCATATTATACTTATAAAATTAGTTATTTATTTTGGATTATACATAAGTAAAAAAAGAAACAATAAACAATTTAAACAAAGCAGCAATAAATAAATGATTTGTTTAGAACTCTCAAATTTAGTTTAATAGTGTGTCACAAATAATGATACCATATTTAATAATCTCATATTTATTTAGACCAATGCAGTTCCTCTCGATTTCGTTATATATATAAAATCTATACACTTTCAAAACAAATTTGAGATACGATTATACGAACCACAGTTGTATCAAATATAATGAACAATTCTAACTCGTTCTTCTCTTTCGTATTAAAAATTATTTACAGGAGTATACAAAAAATGTGTTTCATTAACTATTTAAAATAAATGTACCTAATGTTTATATTTTAAGTATTTATAAAACTGGCAATTAATATAGTAGATTATTATAGCCAAAACAATTTTATGGTATGAAGTTACGCATAAATATTGTTAATACTACAACAATATTAAGACCCTGCACATATTTCTAGGTCACGAGTACATGTTATAATACACGAATAACAATAATATTACATTATTCCATCCAAAATAACATAAAAATAAAACAATGAACCCAAAACACTCCAAGAAAATGAATAGCTGTACAAATAATTTATAAGAATTTATAAAATGCAAAGTTAGGTTTACTAAGTTTATTTGGTTATTTTTTTTTCATATATATAATATATTATATATTATTGTAAAAAAGAGTATAATTTAGATAATCACCCAAATTAAAAACATTACTCAAATCATTAAGCTTTCGACGTAAAAACCATCTATGAGTATTTGTTTTTTCAATGAACTGAAGAAATTGAAAAAACACCGTGGTTTTACGTTCTTAATTAAAACGTCGTCGGCTTGAAACGATTTTCCAAAGACAAAAAACTTTCGTCTTAAGCCAGTTTTTAACACAGTTTATCCGTGCACTTCACCACATAACGAAAACGCCTCAACAATGTCGAAACATTAGTGTCACGAACGAATACGATGACTATGACAATTATTTCGTTTTAACCAGCGTTTGGAGCATTATAAATTTTAAATTGAATTTATTCACGCATTTACATATTCATTTGCCTTCAAATTGAACACGAAGTGCATTAAGAATTTATTTTTATTCTGAAAATAATATGTCGTTCATGTTCGTCTCTACTTAAACTATGTTTGAACAATAAAATAAAATAAACACGCGTTTGTTTTTTTGTTTAAAAAAATTAAATAATTGATAATAAATGTAAAAATAATTCAATTTACATCGTCAGTTTTTATTTATGTTGTTTAAACAATCGAAGGACAGTTCAATAACCATATATAAATAGAATAAGTCGTCTGAAATAATCTACCGGTCTAGAAACCAAAATCTCAAAAGAGGCAAAGTTTGAAATATATATTTTTATTCGTGCGTGTACCTACCACTATAGTTCTTATAAAAAAAAAAAAAAAACATTGTCGGAGTAGAAAAGTACAAATTGAACATATTTTGAATTTAGAACGAATTCATTTTTTATTCTGCGCGTTCGCAAATAAAACGAATATACGAGTATGCGTTCTTTAACGTCGTTCGCTATTTACGAATTGAATGCATTTGAGGTGCAATCGTCAACGAGAAAAAAAATGAACGCTTTCGTTTGTATGCATTCTTTCGAACACGGTAATTTTCCAGCCCTACGTACGTTTTTGTGCGCGCATCTCGGTATACACATCAGATATATGATAAATGTGTATAGTTTGAGCGTGGTATTAAACCAAGTCTATATAACGTCCACACACGCATTATACGAGTAAATATAACCAACGCAGAAAACCGGAGAAACGTTGTGAGGACCACACTGTATATTAAATAAATGCCGCACACGGGTTTAATGGTATTAGCAATGAACGTTTACGTCACGAGTTCCTGGTATTGTTTAGGGATGGGGTTTGAGCAGAGGCGGAGAGAAACTTTTAACGATAAAACCCACCGCCTAGAAGGTTATTAAGCGCTCGACCCCAATTAGTATATTGTGCAAAGCGTGTACATGCAGCGCCCAAAGAAAAAACACTCGACTGAATGGCGAATGTGAATAGAGCAATATCCGTAATTTTTTTTTATATTTTTTTTTTCCAGAAAAATACAACCCTCAACAGCAGAAAAAACAGGTGTCCGATTTTTTGGTCAGGCCGTTTTTTGACACGTCCGTATCGTCCAACATCACCACGCAACTGGGTGGTCACGCATACATGCCTTGCAGGGTCAAACAGCTCGGTAACAAGTCGGTGAGTGTATAAAATTAAAATTAAATTATTCCGTTTGGGTTTTGCATTGATATATTAAATTAATAAACCGAAGTTATTTTCGTTTTAAATGTAACCGTTTTTCTAACAGAAATGTTTATAGAATAATTTTAATATCGAATTTCCAATATTATAACTATATTCACAATAACTATTCGTTTAAATTAAAGTGGAAATAAAGGTGTTAAGTTACGATTTCCAGACTAATAGAGCTGTCGAATGAAAATAACAAAAACAATATAACTATAGAATATACTTTTGAGTCTTCGCATAAACTGAAATGCATTAGCATTTCATACATAGTTTTTGTTCAAAACATTTGTATATAACCAGTGACGTGTCGGTTTTGCACGACTAAAGTTCTGCGAATATCCATTATAGCTATGGTAGAATTATATTCGTGGTGCATGTTTCCACCTCCCTCGAAGTATATACAAACAAATAAGTGATTAAATTATTCAAATTTACCCACTCACAATTATTATTCCTTGCGTCGTACATAATATTATCTTTAAATTTGAATAGCCTTTAATAATAGATAAAAATTAAGTATATTGTCATCAGTCATCAGGGCTCATAAAAAAAGTATTACATAATATAGCCCAAAGGTATCGTCGAATAATCAAAACAGCTAACGAATCAGAAAAATACGCAAATATAATAGTTATTATTTTACCGAACAAGAATATCGTAAATCAGAGTGAGTACTATAACCCAATTCTTACCCTAAATTAGAATAAGTACGAGACAGGTATTACTGTATTAGACAAATATGAATGCAGTGCGAAATTTATCCCCTCCCACACGTCGTCGGTAAACGAGCATAACACAATAATGCGTACGTACCTATATCTATTAAATTATTATTAGTGATGTTAGGAATAACGGACGTACGGATTTTGTTGGCGGCTCGGATTGCGCTCGAGATCGACGCCCGTGAATTCGAGCAGGCTTCCTGAAAAACTCGTTGCGGGGATAAATGACAACCGGAATGCGTATTGTATAGTTTTCCGGATATAACGACCGCAAATTTCACGAACGCGGTGGACGCGAAATGGCGGGCAGACCCCGCGCAGTAAATTAAAACGCTCGAAACAATGTGTATTGCGCGCGTTTGACCGTTATTCCGAATCCGAACGTGAAGGGAATTCGATTAGCCGCGGAGTATAATTATATAGATAAACCATATATATAGGCATTAGAGGTATCTATATGCCAATAATAGACTGTATAACGTTACACGGCAGAACGTTTTTACAACGCCGGATGCGGATACAATATTCTGCAAGTATATATATATATATAGTATATACATATGACCTAATATAGTAATACGATTATATATTTACAAAACGATTTACCAGTTTTTATATTAAACTTCGCTACGTTCTTGAAAATTGCAAAGAAAAAAAAATTCTAGTCCAGGACATCTTTATAACTTTTTATTCAGTGACTCCTGTTTTGAATATTTAGAATACAATTATTATTAGTAAGATAATAGATATGATTTCGTATAAATGTACTAACATTTTATTAAGCAGGTATCCTTCTTTTGAAAGAAACGTATTGATGACCTCCAATTAAGTCATAATGTGTTATTAAAATAGATACCAGTTCTATTAGGATTTGGGGGATTAATTCCATTATTGTTATGCCTTACAGAACTTTTGACGGCAACTAATTTGATACAATATCTATGCTGTAAAAAATCACATGACAATTAATATAATTACTCCGTTTCGGCGTATATGTAGTAAATAACCGGTAAAGTTTAACTACTAGGTACTTGATATTGTTTTTGGAATTCTATGAACTGCAAGAGCTCCGAGTATGAGTAATTACTAGTCCCTTCCAATATGCGTTTATACGTATACTTGACCATGAACGGGTGACAAACGGTGGTGATTGTAGGCACGATTTTACACACGTTATATGCTTTTATTGCAACGGCAATGGCGACAAAATTTTGCTGGAGACGAGGCAATTTTCTATTTATGACCGGTCTGTCGCCGTGGCTTTGGATGAGATCGTAAAAATACACGCCAGGGTTTCGCCACGCGTCCACCACATAAACACGAGATTGCACTTCGATGAAGACACGGCAAATGGAGTGGAGGGGATAAAATAATAAAATAAATAACTGAGCGACAAAGACGAGTGAAAAGTTTCTATTTTTTCCCTCATTTCCCTTCATTTCTCTCCGACTATAACGCGTTATAAATAATATATATATAGCCTATATATTTTGTCTCGAGAACAATTGTTAAGCTTCTCCATTGGTGACGGCCAGTGGGATAGTTTTTACACAATAGTTATTTAATCAACGTTCCTCTTGCCACAGGGCACTAAATAAAATTACCTTTTCCTTCGCCGGAACAGCACAAATAACTGGCCAGTAATGTGACCGAATTGACGATTTAAAAATATGTGCTCCTACAATATATGAGTGTAAAAGTCTACCCGGCAGGATAGCGGCGACTGGCAATCGGCGTGGTGGAAAAACGAAGGATAGGAACATTGTAAAAATGAATCCGGGGGGACCGTTAAGTTTTCCAAACGGTAACGCGTCCCATTTAAACTCATGTTATTGTCGCGAAAAGCACAGGGTAAAAAATAACCCGCACCTTTATACTTTATTGTTATTTCTTTCCCTGCCACTACTACCCAATCACGCCCACTCACCGAAAATCCATTAACTCACAGTTACTTCCATAAGCTACCACCGTTTCCCCTTAAGAAAAACATATCGCAAAAATGTCCTAAAAATACCCGAACGCGTCGAAATAAAATGTACGTGACATAATGTCATGCGCAGCTATAGTGCAGTACACGCGATTTTTCGAAGAACAAGATTAAGTTTTATTTTTAAATAAATTCACGTAGCGAATTTTCAGACTGAATTACGAATATTTGAGTTTTTCTCGAATTCCATTACGTTTTGTATCCCATAAAAAAATAATCGTGCAAATCACTTTATGCAACCAAAACTAATACCAATATACATTGGTATTGAATAATGTATATAACATATTATTATGAAATAGCGTTGTTATTTTTTTTTTTTTTTGGAAAAAATATATACTGCGATACCTCTAAAGTTTAATATTTATTCCATCTAAACGTTTCACTGTAAAATTCGGGTTTGTCCATGACGATGTTCCATCGTTTTGACCTTATTACCATTACATTTTTCAATACAATTATTTTGTGTTTCATATCGCAAACCCATAGATAAACAAAACATGAAACTATTGAGTCTTTTGCAACTTTTAACATGCTATACGACAATTTTGGTACGAATATGACAATAATATCGTTAAATAAAATCATCGCGTCCAATATTCTAATATAATTTAATGATGTCTCAACGGTAATGGAATTATGTAATGTAATTATATATAGAATAATTTGCCAAATGTGGCCAATTGTACTTAAACTATATTGAGTCATAAATCTTTTTGTGGAATATCAAATTACCACTCCACTTATGCAGTTAGCACACAATGGCCGTTAAGAGCCACTACTATAATGGACTGAATAATGACTAATCGATATATATATATATATATATAGATTGCTTAATATTGGTATAGTCTAATAATATATAATAGTTTATAATTAAAATTAAATCCATTTTCGAATGATAAAACGATATTCATTTTGTAATACAGATATTCGTTGAAAATGTACAAATGAAAACTGGATATGATTAAATAGAAAAAAACTGATTGCTCAGACTCCGAAAAAAAAAAAAAAATAAATTACTCATTAAAATATTTTAAAACTAATCTAATTTTTATGTACCAATAATTACTTAGTAATTAATTACTTTCTAAAAAAGTAAAATAATTATATTTAATTTTTGTTTATATTAAGTATCGAGCAAAATTTCCATTCCACTAATATAATTTAAATGTATTTTATTTTGAATAAAATATATCAGCATCGTCCTTCCTATTGTATTAATTTATTATATAAAATAAATAAAACTGTTAAATTATCATAGCTAAATGAAATACTAACGATTCTTTAAAGTACCCTCAAATTAATTTAAAAGCATATTTAGTTATTTTTTTTTTTTATAATATTAATAAATTATTTTTTTCCTACACATTTCTGTTTCATTCTGTAGTGGCATCCCGCCAGTGGAACTTTTTATCTTTACCTATACCCAAGTTTTAATTTCACATTTCGTTACCCCTAACAACCCTCTCGTGAGTATGCCAAGTTTATTTCAATCTCTCGGTTATTTTATTAATTAAAAACATAGACCTGGATTATATGGAAAATCATGATAATTTCATTTTTCATTTTATTGAGTTTATTTTATCAAATTTACTTTGATTTAATACAAATCTATGCGGGCTTATGTTTTGCAGGTATCATGGATACGGCGGCGGGATTCGCATATACTTACCATTGATTGGTTGTTGTTTATCGCCGACGATAGATTCCGAATATTTCTAGTAGAGCCTACATGTACGTGGACGTTGCAAATAAAATATGTGCAGCCCAGGGACGCTGGCATTTACGAATGCCAAATAAATACATCACCTAAAATGAGCCATTTGGTTCAGCTCAATGTCGTAGGTAAGTATCGATTCAAAAAATATATATTATATTACTTATAAATAACTAAACGTCGGACGTCCTTATTTATAATCTAACGCATATGAATATAAAACATACCTGTGATATTAACATTATTGTTTATTTTAATTACATATTTGATATCAATTTTAAGATCGTTTTACGCATCTATGATCGAATTTAATCAAAAGACAAAATAATTCATATATTTTATAATTAAGTTTCTAAATTGGAATTACACGGCGTGTTTGAAATTCGAAAAATACACTATAAAATATTTCCGTATTCTATTTAAAAACATACACTAAAAGTTCTAAATGGACTTAGAAATTGATTATAGTCTATAGTCGTAATCGCGCGTATTCGAATTATTAGATTGATTTTGTTCGATAAAAACGTACCACGAGCGGTCGTCAGTTATGACGAAGGCAGAAATTTTTAGCGGTTATCCGCAGAGCTTAGCTATAAATTCTGACGATATCGTCGTTTTAAACGATAGCGGCGCGACGTGATGCGAAAGCCCCCACCAAAAATTCGGTAGGGTGCGTAATCGCGTACACGATGACGACAAGACGTCAAGGTATATATTCTATATACCTAGACATTTTTGCGATTCCGGGTGGTATATGACACGAGTAAACCTAACCCTTTTATCGTCCCCAACAGTGCCAAAGATCGAGATCATGGGCGAGTCAGACATCCACGTGATGGAGGGCAGCTCCGTAAGCCTGAAGTGCGTGATCCGGCAGAGCGTCCGGGACCCGGACTACATATTCTGGTACCAGAACAACAAGCGGGTTCTGGACTACGGCAAGGGCGCCAAGGTGATCAGCAGCGAACGGATAGACGCCAACACGATGGTAGCCACGTTGACCATCAACAACGCGGTGCGGCAAGACTCGGGCAACTACACGTGTCAGCCGTCCAACTTGGACTCGGCCAGCGCGTACCTGCACGTCTTGAACGGTACGCTATACGGTATACGGATATGGAATTGTAACAAAAATTCAATACATAATATGACGTGTAATATACATCATGCAGATATATTTAATATTATGTCGCGTCGATATTATTACGATAATGTTTTTTATATTGACGTTTGTTTAGTTTAATCGGCACGCGCGTACGACCAAAATTATTATTAACAAAATATTTTAATAACACCGTCAGCTGCCACGAGCAGCAGGCCTGTTGTTCGGGCTTAGATTTTATTCAAATCCGACCATAGTCTGTTGTTATTATTCCGGAATCCCTTTGCCCCGCGCCGCAATGGCAGCTATAATATTCACGAACGATTCGGCTGTACGTGCGCGGCTCGCACTGCGCATATATATACGTACATATATACACCGTATTCGTGTATTTATATACATATAATATGTATGTATTTGTGTGTGTGTGTGTGCGCGCGTATATGTATATAACCGCGATCCCTCTGCTGCGTTTGAAGTGTTTGACTTAACAAATGCGTTTTTCGTTCCCGGCGAAACCGAATGGAAATAATTCAAACCAAATAAATCATAAGTTTATAAGGTACAGATTTTATGTGTATTTCCTTGGGTTCGAATTTTAGTTTCCGCCGCTAGCGTTTAATTACTCATAAATCATAAACAAATAAATAACATCATTGTAACTTGGTAAGTACTCAAAACTACTAAAACGTATATAAAAAAAAATTTAACAAACAACGAAAGCACTTAAAGTGTCAAACTCCGTACACAAATCTTATTTAATATTTTTTCTCCGAGCCGAAAACTATTTGAGTTATTATTTCTATTAAATAATAAGCATTGGAAACGGCGTGAAAAATATTGGTTGTATAGTTTATTGGAATACTTTAATTTCTAATGTGGCTAGGCTTTACACAAAACCTGTTACGATTGATGTACAATCATATTCGAATAACGCGTTAAAAATACAATACAGAAATAACACTCAAATGAACATTGCTTAACAAGACGTATTGATTTAAATGTTAAAAAAAATTTATTCTTTTTTATAGGTAATATTTTATGCAAAACTATAATCTTGCCAACGCGATTATATATGGGCAATATTGGTACATCTGTGTTTAGGAATCTTTCAAGAGGTTATCACGTGATTTAAAATATTACATAAAATACGACAACTCGAAATTTCGAAATGGAATAAATAATAAAATTCATTAAAAACAAACAAAATGTATTAATATTTCTAAATACTCACAACAAATTCACAAATAGGTTTTTACGAAATTGACAAAAAATGTAAATATTATATTCCAATATACATTGTATACGTTGTTATTCTGAAAAATATCAAACAATAAATAACTAATTAATAAAATAACATTGTATGGACAAAATTCCAATTCTGTTATATAAATAAAAAAAATTTTAAATACATACATTTTTGCTTAAAATAATCTATAAAATATTTAGAATGCTTATGAATTTCTTTTTTTGGTATATTTTCTTATCTAAAAAATATATTGCATTTTTAAATATATAATATATTAAAGTAATAATATAGGATAAAATATTTAACGTTCCACAAATTAACGCAAATTTTAAAACACATCTAATATCTCCCAATATATCTAATAAAAATTATTCTATTTTACTTAGTGGAAATCAATGATTTCATCCACGATCCCCTTTAATACCATTAGGATATTTTCTGTGACAATTTATTTTATTCAATACTTCACATTATTTATGAATCAAACTGTAAACAGTTTAAGTTATTTATAAAACAACTAAGTTTAAAATAATTGTTTTTATCATAACCAATAACAAACAAATAGAACCAAGTTTTGTACAACAATTTATTTAAATTAAATAAATATCTTTATTTTTTATTTATACTTATCAAACTTTGTTTCAAATGTAACTTTAATTGTCTTGTATTTTTCTTAAATAAGTTTAACCTGCACAAATTGCCAATGTTTAAAATTGTTAAACTACAATGTTTATTTATTTTTATTGAGCGTTTAAAAAAAAAAAATGATTTATTCATTAAATAATTTATTAAGTGATGTTTCTCATCTAAAATAATATTTTTTTATACACGAACTGAAACACAAAAGACACAAAAATGAATAATAATGCCTTCATTAATCATTGGGTTTCCAAGTATATAATACAACCATTAATTTTTCATGATATTATATTTTTACTCAACGGAAATCGGTAAGAATGAAATAAAACGCAGTTACAACGACAAAAAATTACTAAAATATATAGAACAAAAGACATAACATTGAATTCTTTGGTAGATAATCCAAAGAATTTCCTGTCCTTAGAAATAATTATCTAGCTATTATCATTCAAGATTTTAAATAAGAATCGTGTTAGAGGGGAAAATGGTAAAAAAAACTTAGGAGTATATCGACCGGTTATTGTCATAGTAGGTGGTGTAGAATCTCGTATAGTTATGAATACAGTATGAAATATATACTAACAGCGATTGCTTTCACTAAAAAAACTGCTATAACGGCGAATTTTTGACGCGTGTTTATAAACATCTTTCCGAATCGCTAATCGCTACAGTAATTATTTACTACTTTATATTCGAACACAATATAAAATAAAATATAAATCCATGAATTTTATGCCTAGCATGTACCTATAATATATCAGACGTGTGTATTAATTATGCCTGCCGGATTTGGACAAACTTAACAATGTTGTGTCACACACCGTCGCTGGAACAAGACAATATCGTACGAAATAATAAATTGTCGGCGCTCTTTTATATAGTCGTATAATACACAAGATGGCTTCATAATATATCTATGGTTTCGGGTGAGCACAAAAATTAGCAACACCGAGTAATATTATACGGCACGATGTGATAATTAAATTTCCCGTTGGGTATAGGATTATAAAAACGGCCGCCGTGAATACATTTCCATATTAACGCGGCGAGAGACGAATGAGATGTGAGCGTTTATGTAGGTGCATAATAAGTGTGTATACGCATATAATATGGAATATTATATTACAAATTTTTGTAACGCACGGTTAAAATTAACTCAGATTATTAAAAATCTGTATATTCTAATAATAATTCGAATTGTTCTTCGTCTAATTCTCTGTCCAAAACTTAATCCCTCCTATTATAGTCGAATAATTATTATTCTATCGTTGCCACAGACTCAATTGTCATTGAATTGTGAATTTTATATCGTAAATTAAATTTAATGTGCTTCATTTTTTTTTTTCTTATTGTTTTACAGTTAAAACCCCTAGAGCAGGGGTCGGCAATTAATAAATTCTATGGAGATCTAGAAAATCAAAAAAAAAAAAAATTTCGAGGACCAGTAAAAACTAAAAACTTAGATATTAGTTAATAATTGATGTGTTATCGCAACTATTATTGTAAATAGCAATAAACGATAAACACCATCGTAATCTCTAAATATATTATAAAATAGATAAAATATATATTATTCTATGTGGAAAACTAGCATTATTAAAAAAAAATATTTTTTGTGGTCCAATTATTTTTCCTTCACGGGCCGGATTTGGCACGCGGGCCGCCTATTGCCGACCACTGCCCTAGAGGCTAGGTAAATACTGAATAGGTACTGCAAATTATATAATACGATTTTAAAATGAGCGTATTAACTGTTGATTGTACATTCGTTTAAAACATATCAATTAAACGTAACATTAGATAATAAACCTTAACTCATAAATAAATAGCGTTCAAGTCTCAGAGTATTAATTTGATGAAAAAAAAAAACACTTCTTAGGATTACTTTATCGATTTGCCGTCTAAAATTTCAACTTCAAAAACTACTCTTGCGATAGAAAATTTAATTTTAATACCATAAAATTGCTAACTCATCGGATATTCGAAAATGTGAACACAATAAACGATTAATCTTATTCCACTACTAGACTACTATAAAAACGCGAACATAGGAAATAATATCTAAAAGTACTTCCGAGAGCTCATTAATATTCATATGGTATTCGTAACTGCTCCTGTGTATAGAACTTTGAAAAAGTTAACTTGAAAACATTATACTCCGAGGCAATAGTGCGATTCCTAAAGTATTTAAACAATAAATAATAATCGATGTGTTCTCTGAAAAAAAATCAGACGCTTAATTAAAAATAAATTTTTACCACACGTTCAAATATAATTTTTTTCCAATTATACGAGTACATAACTTACTTAAGTTTTGCTTCTAATTTAACATAAAAGTTAGTTCTTTATAAATTAGTAACTTTAAAATGAAATATATTATTTTCTACGCAATCAAGTATAGTTAGAAGTGTTTATATCTTTAAATATGTAATATATTAAAACTAAAATTACCGTTGGTTTTTTGTTTGACTAAAAGTTAGTTGTTTAAAATACCTTGTTGATTCTGATAACAGTGATTGTAGTCAATTATAAAATATAAAAGTAAAACAATAACCTGAATCATAAAATTAAGTTCTTACTTCTTAGTCCTTAAGTCTGAACTAATATTCTTTATCTCCAATTACTAATTCGTTATTTGGTATAATTTTTCGTAAAAAGTTAATATTTTTTGATACAATAATAAAGTGAAGCGTATAAAAATTTAGAGTACACTATAAAACTTAAATTAATTTGGATCAGACTCGTGAAATAATATACTAAAAAATATTTTCTTTAGATTAGCGCAGAATAATATCACAATAAACTTAACAGACGAATACAATATCGAATTCCGTCATATTTTCAATTTTTCGAACGCCGTTCATTATAAACAGTAAGAGAGAAAAGAAAAACAATTATTGCTAAACAAAATCACTATGATATATATATATATATATCTAAAACGGTTGCCCTTTAAGCACGCGATTAAAATGTATAATGTATGTAAACAAAGAAGCATACATGGAAGTCTAAAATTACTTTTCTCTATCCAAACTAACCGCGGGAAGTCGTCAATGATGTAATAGAATCGAAATAAAATATATACCAATATAAAATAGTAATACTAGCAGCGATTCTGTTTATATTGAATTGAAACCATAGGATCAGCTGATTTCATAGGATGCTGTATTTTTTGGGTCCATATTTTGCCAACTAACGTATTTGTGCGTAATGTTGGCGTATCGGTCATAAAACACCAACCCGTTCACAAGCTGTACAACACCGAAATTCAATCCACCGTTATTATGTTCTGAAGTAATAATAATACCACCATATCCTGTTTGACACATCCTTTGAGTGGTCACGCTTTCATAGACGGTAATCTAGAAAATAAAAGTTATAGTAACAAAAAAAAAAAGGATAAGCCCTCTAAAATATACTAAAATATATTTTTAAATTACTTGTACGTAAATAATAATCTAGTTGAAAATTTAATCAAATTCATTATATTCGAATAGATTAAAAAATGTTAATTACTACGTTATTTTCTATATCTCCGTTTATTATTATTTATTTTTTTTTTTTCGTAAATTTTGACGAAATCGGAATAAACAGTACAGTAAATCGAAATTACTTTTGTCAGATTGTATTATTAACTAAATATCGAATAGCACAATAACATATTATAAGTAGTTAACTATACAATCATATAGATTATATAACCTGATCCGAAAAAAATATTTTAGTTTTTAAAATTCATTATATTTATTTCAGCGGTGAAAATAACCTTAGATAGTGTACCTGCTGATCATCGTAAAAATAACGACACGCGATTTTAAAACAATGCAAGAGTATAGTGATGGGCGGAATAAAATTACGAGCCAATCCTAGAAACGCGAGACCCGTCTTCTGTATCTCTGTATCCCCTCCCCCCCCATTTTCTCTTCCTCGTTTATTCTGACATAATATAATATATAATACATGTGAGTGTCGAATTTATAATAAAATTGTTTTTTTACTCTGTCCGTCCTCGCAGGCGAACATCCGGCAGCCATCCAACGGGGACACAGTTCCGGCACTCAGATACCCATCCGCCTGTTGGGGCCTCTCTCGGCCGTGTTGGGACTCAGCTCCAGTCATTCGACGAGAGCCGCTCTGCTGACGACCGCGTTCGCCGTCGACTTGACCGTCCGGACGCTATACTCGATGATCGTCTAAGCGGGCGACACCACAGGACCCTATTGTGAGCCTGCAGCACAACCGCCGCCGAGCCGACCGAATGATTTACATACCAAATAATCAGAACCCCCATATCCCCCCCCCCACGAAAAATATTACACACCTAGCCGCTGACGACGGGTAAACCATGTCCGAGGTCGTGCAGCGAAGCGTATCGATGAAATGCGCACGATTCACTGTGCGTGCACAACATACAATATGTTACCGAAATATATTTTCTGCCGTACATACCAATATCGCACAAAGACGATTTGTTTTCATTATTATATATTATTATTATTATTATTATTCATTATTATTAATATTTATATTGATACCATGCGGCAGTGACGAGTCTGTATGTAAATAATATTAAACTTGAACCGCGAGTGTCCATCGGCGACACATTCTTTTCCAAACGTGTACATTTTTTTACGTGTATTTACTTATAACTATCATTATTATTATTGGATGTCTAATAAAAAAAAAAAAAAAAAAATGAAAAAAATTATTAATTAGCTTCAAAATAACATTGAAAAAATGTTATTTTTTTTTTTTGCATAACCGTATATTATATATTGTAATATAATATATTATAATATTATACCTAATATACGTATTGAGTTTACAGCCAATTGACCAGTGATTATATTGATATATATTATGTTAAGATGTACGCCTATTAAACATATTATATTATTATTGTCATATTGTACATTGTTATTGATAATCTGACAAATGAATGATGACGTACAGTGATGGACTATATTATTCACTTGTAAAAATTCGAAATTTGCTTATTGTTTTTGTTATACAGTTTTTTTCCGGACATTCTAAAAATCCGTGAAAATTATATGTAATCATATAAACATATTATTCAAAAAAATAACTTATAATAAATAAAACCATAGGTTATTATTATTATTATTATTATTATTATTATAATTACTACTATTACTAAACTATTTTGCTCTAAATGTTGTTATTGTTTTGTTTTGTTCTTAAAATTTATTGTATAAAATTACGCTATAAAAATGATATTACTTACGGTTGAAATTTATGTACAGCACGTGTATACTAATTTTTAAACATTCTTTTATTCTAGTCTATGACGATTACCCTATTGATATTATATAAATATAACTACTAATGGTGCGCTGTTTATGTAAATTATAACGCTATAAAATCAAATGTGAACAAAACTAGTTTATATTTTGCGTTCAGTACAGTAATATTACCTTAAATTATATTATAATTCCATTAAAGCATTAATATAATTTATTATTCACGTAAATTAATATTGTTCTAGCCTTTTTTGATTGTTGTAAATTAAACATTTAAATTTAACTTTATTATGAGTCATATACTTTAAAATATATGTTGGTTTTTGTTTATGTTTTTCAATACTATTTTCCATATTTTGTACAACGACGATGTGTTATGTTTCATGTATAATTATTATTTGATCAAAAACTTCAAATATTATTATTTTTATTCAAATTGTTAATTTTTCTGATATAATAAACAACAACAAAAAAAGTAATAAAAATAGTTATATATTATACTATTTATTTACTTACTAAAAGTGTATAAAAAAAAATATGTTATACATTTTAGATGAGGAAAATGTGTACCGTTAAACTAACCTTTAATTTATTGTAATAAATGTTATATGAAATTATGCAAACTCTGTTTCTGACAATAGTTGACTATATACCTATATACCTATACGTGTGTGTGTGTTTGTGTCACCAAAAATAATTCACACCATACATTTGTATTCATTATTCGTACGCTGCAGCGGCAGTATGCAATTTAGCAAACATTCGTTGGGATTTAGATTAGGTAATGATTATTTCACACACGAGCTTGTCGTCTCAATTTAATCTCATGGGTATAATTAAGTTAACTACTACAATTTCTTCAAACGATAAATATGGAAATTACTGTAACTTAAGTGCTAATGTTCCTACAGAACAGCTTAATTTTAATATGTAAATCGAGTAAAAATTTAAACTCTATTCAAGACTACTAGAAAATTTTCATGAGGAACCTGTCGATCTAATGTTTACGCAAACGCCAAAATAATGAACGGCATAGAAAATAGGTTAGTTTTGAAAACGCTCCACGTTCGTATACAATCGATATATAATTTCTATTATAATGTTGATAAAAACGCACTGAAAAAAATACATTTTATTATGCCTAATAAGTTTACTAAATTATCATCGAAGTTAATTTTTATAAATCAATATAATAAGTTCTTAACATTTGATGACATTACTCGTTATGATTTAATTCCTAGTGATATATCGTCCATATACTTTCTCGACATGTATAAATATAAAATATATATGATAATAATATTAAAACCTAACTGTACCAGATCGTTTCAGATCATCAATCACCGTTGTCACTTGTCATTCCGGTCTAAACACTAGGGTCAGATTTAAAAACGGTCTCTCCGTTTAAAATATAAATGTGGAAAAGTATAACGAAAAGTTAGTTTTCTTTTTCTTTTTTTTTTATTGAGACAGTCGATTTTTAGTACACCTTGATGAGACGTAAACCTCGCACTTTAATATATGGGTAGATCAGGGCGAGTCTGAAAAAGTTTGTCTTCGATGTTCGATATCCGCAAAAAAGGCAGCGATAGTGGCGGTGGCGTATTCGGGTCAGTTGGTACAACTTTAAACATACCAAAAAACATTTATGGTTTCGTTTCTCGGACATTGAAAAATAAGTATCCCAAAACGATAATATATGACAGCGTGACGGTGATGGCAGAGTTTCAATTTTGTTCCGCTTGTCATAATTTATTGGAAAAGTTCGTTGTTGACTTTGTTGGCAGTCTTATTTTAAACTTCTTCTTCCAAAGGACACGCGCTGGCTAAAGTTAAATGACGTGTGTGTGTGTGTGTGTGTGTGTGTGTGTGTGTGTGTGTGTGTGTGTGGTGTACATTTTAATACTTGAAAAACAGCACAACAACATTTAGGTTTTTTTATAATTACTAGACACAATATTTAAATGAAGAAAAGATATTGTTTTTAGTAAATTCTTTTCAAACAGATACAGTCAACACACATTAAAATAGGTAACACTTAAGTAATAGTTGCCATGTGACCATAACCTAGTTATAACTTGCTGATTCACGACATATTGATCTAAATTCGATCGTAGATAATTCTATTGCAGACAAAACTTTAACTAATTTGTTATAAAGATGACTTCTTCTGAAGAACCAAAAGGTAAGTTCAAGAATTTCAATATTGATTTAATTGAGATAAGTAATATATATTTGTATGTTTACTGAACCTTTTTAAAGGGAAATTACACAGTCTTTGACCATTCATTTTTGTCTGTCAATAAAATATTTACTGTATACAAAATAACAAGCATGTTGTTTACACAAAAACATATTTATCTTGAATAAAATTTGATTTTTTCAAATAATTACCATTTAAAGTACACAACAAAAAAATAAAATGTTTGAATAAATGTTTTGTTGTTATATATTGTTTTCAAACTTATTAGTTATTAATACTATACATGTTTAATATATAATGTTCTAAATTATTTATGATAATCAAAATTTTACACAATATAAATATTTTGTGAATAAATAACTTGTGTTATAATGTGTATACTTTTAAGTTTTTATCTATAGTTTGATAGCCTCTGATCTAATGCATAATGTAAAATATGTTCAGTAAAATAATTAAGCAGTTGATAAAAAAAACATTCAATAATAGACATCAGAAAACTTTATAGTTGTTATTTTTTTCATTGCTCGTTTAAAAAATTAAAACGTATTTTATGGTACTCAATAACTCAATAAACGTTAAAAATAAAAAAAATAAAAAATGGTAAATTCTCAAAGGAAATAGTTTTAATAAGCGTTTTGTTTTTTTATTTAATAAACTTTTTTTAAAAATTATAAAAGTAGATATGCCAAAATATATTTATTCTTTAGACATTACTGTACTAAATTGCACTCACTCAATTTTTATATAAAAAGTGCACGTTCAATTAATGTTTATCACAAATAGCCTTTGTATTATTTTAAAGTACTTCCGTGACTGTTATTTAAGACATGCTATTTTATAAACTTTAAATCCTAAATTGCAATTGTATAACTTATACTTAAATTTTTAACACGCATTGTTAAAGTTTTAACTGATATAAGTGAAATTATTTGAATAGTTAAAACAGCCGTACAAAATATCGAAATATAGGCATTGTTCATATTATTAAGACTAAATAAATGAAATATGATTTTATTATTCAATGAATGTGCTTTAATTTTGAGATAATAAATTTTAAAACGTATTATTGTTATTGTTTAATGCATAATGTACTTTTGTATTAATTATGAAAGACTATAGTTTCTCTTTAAATTCGAAGTTAGAAATGCCAGTCACACATAAATTAAATATTACATAATAAATAATTTCCTAGACTTAAGCATTGGACTATAGGTTTTTATAATACCCATAAAAACTGTTTCGGGTAGAATGTCTTAATTATCGGCATTAAGTATTTCCTTAGATTAAAAATTCTATTCACAAACAATACTGTTTACAATGAGATAGTTTTTAGTTATTTTCCAAAAAATTAATGATTCAACTATATTACATTAACAATAAACCGCACGCAATATAAAAAGGTTTTGAACAATTTTACAGTTATTTATAATCATTAATTATCTTAAAATTTTCAATATAGTTATTTGCATTTATTATTTATTATAGATTTGTAAAATAGTTTCTATAAAACATCGAGATTACTCAAATAATGTTTGTTACTATACAATAACATGTATTAATACATTTTGAAAATCTTAACTCGTAAATTATTTTTATGTGCACTTAAAATACCAAGCTCCAACGAGTACCCAACACCCGTCCGTACAATATTCTGTCCGTTCCTTTTTTTACATAAAAATATAAATCATTCCTGTTTGAATAAATCGATACTTGAATTTACGTTGCAAAATAGTAGGAAAAAATGAAAGAATATAGCTTAGCATAGAAGAAATCTAAAATATTATTGTTAGTAATATTTTTTTCCCTATCCATCGTATAAAGTATATCGGAGTCGTATAAGATAATATAAATGTATTAGGCTTTTGGTCAAATTAAATTTTTCTGCCATTCCAGAGTGTAAGCAATTGCGTTAAGTGCAAGTAAACGTCAATGCCGACCGTTTGAAAAAAAGATTAAAATAAATATTAATATTTTATTCTAAAATACATCTTAACCGATATCGCAGAACAAAAATTATTAATGCGCAATAGTAACGTATTTGTTAACAATGTTCACATATCATACCGTCAAGAGACATCGGAAATTTTTGGATGTATATAATACATAATTTAATCTACATACCACAAACTGGCTTTGGTCCAACTCATAACTCCTAAAACGGCCAATGAAATACTCGTAAAATCCGAGTAAACCGAGCTTAATAATCAATTAATTATAGTTACTATTAAATTCAATGCCAATGCGTCTACTATAAATTATTTGAAAACGTAATCAGCTAGTAGTAGTTACCTGAATGGAATTATCAGCGAAGACTACGTTTAATGCGCTTATATAAACGCATAGATAAGAACAATCGATTATTAGCTTTCCAAAAACATTCAGTTTTAAAACATTTAAATTTCACAACTTAAGTTTATATAACATTCACGTTAATAATATCAAAGTTACTTGAAAACTTTTGAACACCTCGTGCACGTTTACTGATGATTTTCATTTTATTAATTTAAGTAATAATCATGCATAAAAAAATCCGAAAACCTATTTTTTTTTAAATTTGCTCAAAAATAATTATCATGTTTCATAGTTGTATGACAAAAATGTCAAAGTGATTCCAAAAATAGAACACTGTAAATAAAAGATTTATAAGCTTTTAAAAATATATAAACCTGTAACACATAAATTTAATAATAATAATGATAATAAATTGTAAGAGAACTTTAATATAATATTCGTATAGATTTGCTCAACGCAAATATTGTAAAACTATCGTTATTAAAAAATTATACTGTAGTCTGTTATATTATAATATAAAGTGTTCATCTTACCCAATGCTTTGTTCAAATCCTAATACATCAATATATTTATTATCAGTTCAAACACACATGATGTTTTAATTTTTTTCTTCCCTATATACTTATAAAATACTATGCACCACTAACATGTAAAAATCTTGTAATGTGTAAAATAAAAACAATTTATTCATAGTAAAATAAATATAAATATATAAATACAAACATCAGTGATTTGTGATTATGATAAAAGTCAAACAAATAATATAATATGTATTATGTTTATTTAAATTAGTGAAAAAAATTACGTAATACACTATATTTTATATTAATTGATTTGATTTCTATTCAAATATTCACATCAGGGGTTCCGGTAAAATCATTTAGATTTTTGGAAAACTTTGACAACAAGTGTCCGCTTTCTGAAGTCATTCCTGTTGAAATCAATCATAAGTTAAATGCAATATTTTACAGTTCGATGGCCGATTACGTTATTGATCAGTAAGACGCGTTGATTTTTTTAATTCAAAATAAAATTAAAAGTAAAAATCATTTTTAAAACGTTACCGCGTTTAAATTTAACGCATTAGTTAACCCAAGTGTAATTTTATAATACTAAAACAATTGTTAAACATTATATTACCGTCACGTTATAATGACAATAATTATTTATATAATTGAAACCCAACTTTTTACAAAGCAAAGAACACTTGTCACCATTAGAAACCACAGAAATGCAGAAAAAACTTGAAACGATCAGTGAAACACAAAACATGGTTCGAGTGACGTACAAATCGGGTAACTTATTCGAAGGACAATTATTGTCCGAATGGATACCAAATAACACAGGACGTTTACGCATTGACAGTGGCGCCGTTTACGAGGTAACGTGTTCACTGCCGAATACCAACAAAAGTTAACATATTGATATCTTAAGAACCTAATATTAACTATACTTGATAAAGGATTTTTTTCCTTTTGGTTACAACCTAAAGTCTAGTTGGCAGCAATTCTCTGCTCTTCGTATTTACCCACTTTATTTTCAACCAACAATACGATTTTCGGTCAAAGTTTTATCACTCCACTAATGAAGTCAAGAAGTGGTCTTCTGTAGCTATTTTCTCTCTCCGTGGCACTGTCTATTATTCTACCGAGTAGACTAGTTGTTATGGTGTAATATATGTCCAATTAACTTAGAACTACTTGTTTTCAAGACCTTCGAGAAACTCGTAATATCTCAATCTCTTTAGATAACTTATTAGTAATTCATATTATGTTCTATGCGATCGTCTAAAACACCATCATGTCTCGAATTCAAAACTTTTTTCTCCTGTTTCACGTTCTACACGATAAGTGTGTGTCTCGGACGTCGGTTGATAACCGCAACATGCGGTATTAAATTTCATTTCGGCGTGGTACCGAATAATCGCGTGGGTCATACGTAGTCCAAGGCTTGCGGTTAGCAAACGTTTGGAGAAAAGTTTTTTCACACATCCACAGGGACAATTAAACGACGGTATTCCCGAGGGCAGGGGCGTCATAAAATGGCCGGACGGCAGTTGGTATAGAGGCGAATTCCTGAAAGGCCTTAGGCACGGCCGAGGACTGCACGTGTCCTGCGAAGACGGCCGCCGGTGGTATAGCGGCGAATGGACGGGCGGCCAGAGGAACGGACGGGGAGAAACGGCCTGCTGCGTCGGTCAACCGGACGGCGCGTTGAATTACTCCGGTGACTGGGTGGACGGGCGGCCGCACGGTAGCGGCACTGCGAGTTGGCCGGACGGGACGCGGTACACCGGTGGCTGGTCACGTGGCCGACCGCACGGCCGCGGTAAGGCAGTATGGCCAAACGACCACGTGAGTTTACTATAGGGTCATGACAAGTATCGAATTCGGTTAGGTTTAGCAAAAGTTTACGGAAAAAAAAAAAAAAAAAAAAAACGTAAGCATATATATACCATTGGAATGCATTTTTCAATACTTCCTATACACAGCAATACTTGCCGCTGTATCGTTACGTGCACGGAATGCTTAGTTCGTCCAATCAGAAGTTTTTCGTACAATGTCAGTGTACACAGTTTTGTTTTTTTTTCTTCGAGTCTAAAAATGACGCCTTAGGTTGTACTCACATGTCAATATATTTTATAAGTACGAACTTATCTTTTGGTCGTTAATAGTTAGCCGGTTGCCGTTTATTCTAATACATATTTTGAGTTTCGTGCGTAAAAGTGGGTGGCTAAGTATGTTTACACGAACTATATTCGCACTATTTCCAGCTCTACTTTATTGACATTTTTTATAAAAAACGATACGGTGAACGGGCGTCGCCCGATTGCGGCCCAAAATTACCTTACCTTTTCACCAATCCCGATTGCGTCCGATAGGTTAGGTAGTATAAAGTGTAGATGATGGAAATGATTTATTTACGAAATATTAAGCGAAAAAAATAAAATAAATGTTTGTAGAATTTAAATATAAATTTCGATTTTATAAGCTATTAGCGCAGATGAAATAGAAAACTGGTGTTGTATTATTATTAAATATTATAATAACGAATAATAGTTTTGAATTTTTAAAGTATTTACACAAAATTATTAGAATTTCAAATACAAATACGTCCAATACAGTATTTAAAATATTTAATTTATTTTATAACTATAAGCTATTTTGTGAACCAATGTGTGTTTGGACGCAATCGGGATACTTATATTTGGGATAAAATAACGACTACCCGAAATTCAGGCAGCAATCGAACATCTCCTCAACAAACAGTGTTTTGGTGGAAAATGTTTGATTTAACAAAACAAAACAGATTTTATTTTACTTAGAATGGCGAAAATCCTAATGGGCACATATAGTACAGTAAGTGTATATACTTGTAAACAAAATATACATATTATATTTAGCATTTGATACAAAATACAAAATAAGAATAACATTATTTAAAACAAGTAGATACAAACTACAAGTTCAAACTTTTAAGATTCAAACAGAAATAAAACAAATCAAATACTGATTAGTGCTATAAATCATTAATATGTTTTAAACAATATTCTGTAACCAGAGTAGAAAGAGGAAAAATTAAAAAAGTTTTTTCCTTAATGTTAACTAACATTTGGTCGATCAGTACAAATAATATACAGTAGTTGCGTTACGCGTAGAAACATATAAGGTGTAAGTGGATACTAACGAGAAGGTTGGAACGTTTAAAGAGATTAAGGAAAGTATTTCGGGACAATCAATCATCGAATTTAGTTAATTAATATTAATATATAGTCAGCATAAATTGTTAAATTATCTTCCAAGTTACAAAATTTCAATATTAAATTCTATACCTAATAATCTCGAAGTCAGTTATTCAACTTTGTTATGTACGCTAATGTGCTCAAAACTCAATTTCAAAATCGGTTATAAAGTTATCTTAGCGTAGAATCCAGATTATCGATCCATATTTTAATTGACCGGGCGAGAATAAAACACATATTATATAGCACGTAAACTTGTAAGCGTAGTTTGTTACAAGAGTCCCAGAAATTACGGTTTCAAGTACCAACTACAATTATTTTATTTTACATAAATCACAAGAAACCCAAATCGGAAACTTATGTTGGTGTGTATATAAGGTGATTCTTTTATCATTGAACACTCGTTATTTCTTAATGGATTGACTTTTTTCGATGTTTTTTTCAAAATGTTTAGTTTCATTCTTTTCTAGAATTATATAAAAATTGTATTTTTTTCACACTTGTTTTCAATAGTGAAACCACTATCAACTTTTAGTTTTTAAATGGCAACCAGAAGCGTACGCAGAATTTTAATTCGATTAGGATTTTCACTATAGATCAGACACCCGTGAGGCTCTGCCCCCCCCCCCAAACATAAACAAGTAAATATCACTAACATTTTATAACACAAAATAATTCTTTCAAATTTCTATTTTTATACCAATTGTTTTCCCTTAAAATAAAAAATATTTGATAATAATATATACTATAAATAAAATAATAAAATATCTAAACAATATTCATACAGTTATAAAAGTAATAATTTTATAAATTATATTTATTTATATTTTTATACTTAATTGATAAAAAATTATTGTTCAAAAGACTATAATCCATAGGCAATAGATATATTATTTAACATATAAAAAACATTTTGGGAGGAGGAAGAAATTTTGAAGGGGGTTAAAACCTTAGAACCCTACCTCTGTGTACGCCACTGATAGCAACCTATATTTTAAATATCATATAATAATGCTATTAATTATTAGTCTCCATTTAACCATTAACGAATTATAGCTGCTCAGTGCTCAAAGTTAGGTGTTTTCCGGTTTTTATTATACTTCTTGTTTCTGAAGATCTGCAGTTACATAGGTAATAAATAATAGTAATATAGGTACATATTTCCATGTGTGAATAAACTTATTATCGATTATTGTTCGACGCAGTGATTAACTTTGTACCTGTAGTAACTATGTCCAATACGTAATAAATTAATTAAATATTAATGCAAAATATTTAAAAATTTAAACTACATCTTTAATAGTTCATAATCTATAGATATAGCCATAATGCAATGTAATACGTACATGAAATCATTGGTAGTGTTTAATTAAAAATTTTTTTTAGTACACTGTTCTAATTGCTTTAATAAAACAAATAGAATTTATTCAATCAGAAAAAATTATTATAAATGGTAATTTTTAGGATAAGTCATTATTAATACTAATTTAACAGTTTAAAATCGTTATGAAAAATAATGATGATATAAATATCAAGTTTAGAACTAAAATATATTTTAGTAGTTTTGAAATTTCGTACTAGGACATTTTTAACTATTAAAATATTTAAATTAACTTTAGTTATACTTTGGTTACTTCCTAGGCTAGTATGAAAATACTCAAATATACTATACTGTGAATTCAAATCTTTTCATAACAACTAATGGATCTACAAATTTGTTAGAAATAGTACATTTTTTAGATTTTGAGCTGTATTATTTCATATTTTTATTTTTTCTGTGTATGTATAGGCAAAATGCTGTGATATTAAAAGTTCAATTTTAACTTTAAAGGTAATTCCTAAAAGTAATATGAATCTAGTTAGTACTTTTGGATGATAAAAATAAAAATAACTCAGTTATTTTCATAGTTATCAGGAAAAATTAATGAAAAATGTAATTTTTACACAAAACTATATAGTTTTTAATAAAATGAAACTTGGTTTTATTTTGTAATTCAAAAATAAATAGTTATAGAGACTTGGAATTTTCACAAAATATTCATACTAACCTTAACTCTGTTTAATATAATTTTTAAAACATTTTGGCATTTTTAATGCTATTTATAAACATTTAAAATGTTGAAAAAAATGTCAATTAAAAACTAAAATTTGAATATTTTAAAATGAGGTTGTTTTAGTGGATTTAAAAAATATCTTTATTTCTACATGGCTTCATATCCTTTTGAACATTTTAAATTCTGAAACTTACGATATTACACACAATACGTTTAAGTATTATTAGATTAATTCGTTTTGAATTCTGAGCGGAATGACGACTATTAATTTTATTATATTGTATTTGTCTTTTTGTTTTTTTTTTTTTTTAAATGAATGAATGAATGAATTAATGAATATTTACCCTATAAGTTGTCAATAAAATGCTTCAATTTTCATAAAATGAGGGTGGTTTTGAACATTATTTTGAATCTATTCTGTACTTTTACGAGGTCTAACTTAAAAATTCCCAGAACTAATTTTTATGATGAGGAAAAACAAATAAAAAATTCAGGAAAAACAGCAATCTTCTAGAAAATCAAATTTTTGACAAATTCGTTTATGTAATAACGAAAGAAATAGAAGAAAAAAATGAAATAAAGCAAAGATAAATGTAAGTAAAAATGTAACAGGGGCGATGTATTTCTGCATTTGTAAGTGCTGAAAAATATAATCAGTAATCAGATACCTCGTCAGATACTAATATTAAAATCAAGTTATTACCTTCCTTCTGATCTTCGGAGGGTTCTCGAAAATATGATCAAGAACACCGTTATGTAAATTTAATATATAATCTATTATAATAATATGTAGCACAATATAATCATGCATTCATGCACCTTACCAGATTTACAGCAGTGAATATGTGATACTTGTTAGGGAAAAGTAAGATAACACAAATGAGAAGACAACTTTCTGAACACTTGAGTCCAAATAAAAACATCACTGGTTTAACTTATTGAAAAGAAAAGGTTCAGTTATCGCTCGCAGAATCTTGTATTGAGAGCTTTTGCTCGGGTGGTGGATGCGCATGTACTGGAGAAAGAGACGATGTGGTCAATCCAATTAGAGGCTGGTGGTTTCATCAAAGGGGCCTCTGCGTTCCTATGAAACTAGCCTTATTCTTTAATTTTTAGTTTTATGTGATTCCGACTTACTGACTATTAATATTTTTTTTATATTTTATTAATTGTAAAATTTTTTTTTTAAACCTATTACTTATAGTGTTTTTTTTCTAACATTATTATTATTTTTTTTTTTTTAACTTGTGCATGAAAACTTGATATTTAACTTATATTAACTTAAATTGATGACACGGAAGAATGGTATTCCAAATGGAAAATTAAAATAAATAACGAGAAACCTTTCCATATAATCTTTTCCCTTAGACAAGGCATTCTCTCTTATCTTTTCTGTCCAATAAAATGATTCCAGCGGTTTCTAATCTCAAGTACCTACTTAGACTTGACCCTCGATAAGCGATTAACTTGGGCTGAGCACATAAAACAAAAATGTCTCCTATTACACTCGAGACGAAAGTCTTTATATTCTTTACTAGTCATTAGTCAAACATTCTAA